GAAGGGGGAAGGGGGGGGGGGGGAATGGGGCAAGCCAAAACAGTTCACTCTCCGAACGATGTGGAGTGGTGGGTGGGTGGGGGAGACCTCCACTCAAATACCCATATCCTGCCTCGAAGTTCACTGGGTGACCTTGGGCCAGTCACTCTCCTCTCTCAGCCTAGCCTACCTTATAAGGCTGTGGTGAGGGAAAAATGGAGGAGGGACCAAGTGGGACCAAGATACCTTAAGGACCCATCTGACCTCACCCGCTCACTCCAGTGGTCCCGCTTTGGTTGTCCCCATAATCTGAGGTGGCAACCCAAGAGGAAGCCAGTTGGGTGTGGTGGTTAGGCTCTAATCTGGGAGAACCAGGTTTGATTCCCCACTCCCTCCACATGCAGCTGCTGGTGTTACCCTGGGTCAGTCACAAGTTCTCCCACAGCTGTTCTCTCACAAGCAGTTCTCGGGAGAGCACTCTCAGCCCCACCTCCCTCACAGGGTGCCTGTTGTGGGGAGGGGAAGGGAAAGGAGTTTGTGATTCACTCCTTCGGGGAGTGAAGGGCCATGGGGTATAAATCCAATCTCTCCTCCTCGTTTTTCAGCCATGGCAGGAAAACTTTGGACCTCCTTCCCCAGGGAGATTTGTCCGTCTCCGGGAGAGACTTTCTGTGGTTCATTGGTTCTATTGCTGTTTTATGTGTTTTTACTGAATTATTTCATCACTCTTATGCTGTTTTTAACTGTTTTAACATTTTATGTGCGCCGCCTTGGGGACATTAATTGGGTGGAAAGACAGCACAAAAATGCTTTTAACAATAATAGTAATAATACTAATAGTAGTAGTAGTAGAGAAATCTTGCTGGCCGCAAGCTTGCAGCTGCTGAGCTCCATCTGGGCTATGTCTGTCCTCCTCTCCTTGCAGGTCCTTCAGTGCCCGGGCAGGGCCCAGAGGTGCAAGCCAAAGGGCTCTTGCCCTGGATCTGCGGCAGGCTGCCTCGCTGAACAAGACCAGCCCAGGATGTGTTTAATTGTATTATTATTTATTGGACTTGGTAATATGCAGGGGTCATTTCCTGCAGGAGCGCACAGGAGTGAAGCTCCAGCAGTAAAGAGCCCAGGGGGGCGGGCACATGCAACAAGCCCCGCACCCTACTCCCAGCAACCCTCAGTCAGAGCAAGAAGCAGCCAGGTAAGCTGCAGAGCCCCCCCCGCACCCCCGCCACCCGCACCACAAAACGAAATGGCACCTTTAAGACCAGGTTTTATTCAGGTACAAGCTCTCCCTCCTCTGCGAGGACAGATCTGCACGTCCCCCCCCCCCAAAGCTAGCAATCCAAAACAGTCCAGTGGAGCCTGAGCAGTAGGCATCAGGGGGTGTGGCACATGCAAAGTTATGCTAATGAGTTATGCTAATGAGCTCCTGCACCTCTTTTTCTACGAAATGACCCATGGTAATATGTATTTTTGCTCTCTGTCCAAGTGAAGAAGAAAAGATTGGATTTAAACCCCGCCCTTCACTTGGAGTCTCAGAGTGGCTTACACTCTCCTTTCCATTCCCCTCCCCACAACAGACACCCTGTGAAGGAGGTGGGGCTGAAAGACCTCTTTCAAGGACTGCTCTTGAGAGAACAGCTCTGAGAGAACTTGTGCCTGACCCAAGGTCACACCAGCAGCTGCACAAGGAGAAGTGGGAATCGAACCCGGTTCTCTCATATTAGAGTCCGCGCTCTTAACCACTGCACCAAACTGGCTCTCAGGATTGCACTGAACAAACGTGCTTGGATAAACGATTAAGAACTGGCTCTTAAGCCATTTTGGCCATCGCTGTCTTCTGTGTTTCATCTTATATAGGACTTCTCTTCTTCTTTGTCTTACCTGGGCTTGGATCTGTGGGGCTGAGAGAGTCCTGAGAGAATTTGTGACTGATCCAAAGCCACCCAACTGGCCTCTTGGGGAGGAGTGGGGGATCAAACTCGGTTCTCTTAAAACACTATAGCAACCTGTCTCCAAAGTGGGAAGAACGGCCACATACAAATACCGCAAGCAAACCAGCAGAACAAACGCACACGCTCAAGTTCCTCTGAGCGATTTGGAGGAGACATGGCATAGAAATGCAGCCGATGTGAAGATCAACAAACAGCCAAAGCTGTTTT